TGTGAGGAAAAATGGTTGCACCATAGACATTGTTATTACCAATGAACAGACATCCTGTTCCATACAGCACCGGAATTCCGAGCCTCGATTCGAGTGCGGCTTTCTGGAAGCTATCCACCATTGCCGCCCAATCAGCAGACTCTGCATTCTCAAACGGCCCACTCCCACCAACACTCAGTATGCTACCTGCATCATCCAAAATAAAACAATGCAATTAAATTTCGAAAATTTGGGGATGTTCAGAAAAATAATTCAAAATTCACCACTTAAACCCTAGAATTTGAGCAACATGAAAATTGAAAATAGTATTAGCGTTATTAGCATGTGAAACTGACCTACGGAGAGGTTTTTAATGGCGGAAGGGGTGGCGACGCTGCGCTCGATCTGTGTCATTTGGCCGATTTTCTCTGCAAGGCTCATCTGAGAGATGAGATCTTTGAGCCTGGCATCAATGGCGGCATTCGGATCTTTGTAGATGCATTTCATCATGGGTTTAGATTTTGTATTATTGCATAAATTGAAGTTTGCAACTGAATCAAAATGGGTAGCAAACAAGATGAAGAATTTGAAGATGAAAGGCGATAGACGATCAAATGGGGCTCCTATTTTAAAAAATAATTTATTTATATAGGTGTTCGAAATTGAATATACTAAAAGATTATAAGTAACATTTCATAAAAGTGATGGTATGAAGGTTCACAAGCAGCGACGTCGATTTTTTTTTGAAATTTATGAATATAAAATAACTAAATATATGGAAAAAGTTTTAACATTAATCGAATGATTTGTTGGTTCACTTTCTACCATGACAATCTGATCTTTATAGCATATAGACTTCATAAATATTTTATGAAATGAAACTTGAATACGGTAATGCATATTGATTCAAATGTTAGGAATAAAAAATAGGGGTAATTTTTATAAACCCTCCACTCTAAGATTATATAGGTCCTAGTCTAAGTCACAAGTCCTGTTTTTCTAACCCCCCTACTAACTGGGTTGGCTGATTTACTCTTTGCAACAAAATAGAAAAATTTCCTTTTAAATATAATTATTCACCAAATCAGTTTTTTAGCTAAAAAAATAGGCCAAAAAATCTCGTGGGATTGAAACTGCAAAACTTACCTCTCGTTTCTTTCAATTTACCCAATATCCCTAATTCTCAAATCGACAGAAAGTATATCTTCTCACACCGCCATCGAAGGGAGAAACTGCAAAAAACTCATCTCTCGTACTCTTTCAATTTACCCAATACCCCTAATTCACAGATCGACGAAGAACCTGTAATTCTGCAAACCGCCACCAAAGGGAAAGATCTGCAAATCTCGTCAAATTGAAACACGCAAAACTCTCCCCCCCTTTCGTTCAACTCAAACTCTGTAATCATAGCACCTTATTGTTGAGATCGATGGAGAGTCTGTAGGTTTGGAAACCGAGAAGATGTACAGGTCATTTGCTATATATATATATATATATATATATATTTAAATCGCGATTCATTGACGAAATACAATGGGTGTTTTTATGAATGAAGTGAAAGACACAGATTTGGAGCCTACGACCCCAGGTAATAACTTCGATTTCTGCAAATAATATTTTTTTGTGTGTTTTTTATTTTGCTGTTTTTATGTGTATTTTGCACTTTGATATTTATTATGTATTTTGCACTTGCTTTTTTATTTTGCTGTTTTTATTTGTATTTAGCACTTTGATATTTATTATGTATTTTGCATTTGCTGTTGTATTGTATATTGCATTTTGTATATTTCATTAAACTTTGGTGGTATGTCAATTTTTGCAAACCTTCTATTGTATTGTTGTTAGTTATGTTGTGATTTTGAAACTGTGTATTGTTGTTTGAAATTACAATTGGCACTTGGCACTTGCTATTACTATTGGCACTTGGCAATTGTTGTTTAAGGATACGCATTTCATGTTATATTGTGCAATTGATGTACATGGTTTTTATTGGTTGACTTGTTGTGCAATTTTTTGTATTATTTCAACAGTTGATTCGAAAAGAGGAAGAGAAAAGTAAATGAATCAGCGGAGTCTTCAAAGGGGGGAAAACAACAATTGAATCAAGTTGAATATGTTCGCACGGTAGAACAAAGCAATGCGGAAGAGTGTGTAATTAAAAGTGATAATGGTGGATATTAAGGTCATTCATTCCCTAGTAACTACCTTTTGAATGGTCTTCTTGAACTATAAAAGGGACACTATTTTATGGAGTTGAGACACACTTGAATAATAATACAATACATATACATACTTGCTCTTTTCTTGTCTTTCCATTGTTTTGTAATACGTTATCAGCACAAAGACTCTAATCGTTTCACAAAGGTAAATTCACGGAATCTCCATGGATTTACGTAATCTATACTTTTATTCCATAGAGAATTTCGAAATTTCTTATGAGTTGTCACACGATTTCATTATCAATTTGTTATGCATGAATCATTTCAATTTCGCAAGTATTTTACAAACTGTGACATTTGCAAAAGTATCATTTTCTTTCTTGTTTGCACAAATACTCTCACATATCCAGTAACACTTTATTTTCCATACATATATTTATCAATTATTAGAGTATATGCACTATACATATATAAAATATATTATTAGTATGATAGGTATGATAATTACCACATTAGCTCATGATTCACTGTGAGAATTTATGCATATCTACAATTATATGCACATTTCTATCTGTTTTTTTAATCCACGAAAAAAAAAATCACATAAAACAATTTTACTACAATTTCTATGTGTATTAAACCTGTGATCATGTTTAATCTTTAAAGAAAAAAAACATATATCTGTTGTTTTTCAAAATCCCCATCAAATTTTTTATATATATTTTTTGCTAAATAAAATATTTGCATTATCTGAGGTATTGAAAATTGTTAAAAAAAATTTTTTTCATCATAACATATGTAGATATAAACTTACGAACATCAATTTAAATATGGTTTAGTGCAAATTAATTTTTTTATGTTCTATATAAGCTTCAATTGAAAATACCATACTCAATTTTCAAGATATGGGTACATGTATTCTAAATCACTCTTCTTTTATGATTCAGCATCATGGCAAACTCACCAACCTTGAATTCACTGACTTAGACATTTCGGAAAACAATTATCTTACATGAGTTCTACCTGCATAAATTCACTTAAATGCAATGAACCTTGGCAAAACCATCAATGCTGCTAACGAGACAAGTGAACAAAATAAGGTGAGATCAATGATTTTCATTCGCCATCACATCCATGAGGGGTTGAAATCTGAATATCTTGGGGTTAAAGACCCAACTGTTCTTTGGAACGATTTGAAAGAAATATATGATCACAAAAAAAGTGTGATCCTCCCACAGGCTCGATATGAGTGGATGCACTTGCGATTGCAAGATTTTAAAACGGTGAACGAGCACAATTCTGCTATGTTCAAAATTGTCTCCCAATTAAGATTATGTGGAGACAACGTCACCGAAGCCGATATGCTAGAAAAAACATTCACTACTTTTCATGACCAATATGCTCCTGCAACAACAATATCGTGAAAGGGGTTTTAATGAGTTATTTATGAAAAATCACAACTCCCATCCAACTGGTTCACGGGCACTGCCAGAAGCAAATGCAAATGCTTCATCCTATCATGTGCGTGCTAACAATGTTACTAGTGGCCGTGGTCGTGGCCGTGGTTTTGGTCGTGGATATGGACGTAGTCCTAATCGAAACCATGTTGGCACTAGAATTGCACCATATCAACCAAAATGGAGCAAGAATTGTGAAAAGCAACACAAGGGAAATACAACGAAATTTGGCCCTCCTAAAAAAATAAAATGACTCTTGCTACAAATGTGGAGCAAATGGGCATTGGATAAATGTTTGTCGTACACCAAGAGACCTTGTTGACTTATATCAAGCATCCATCAAGGGTAAAGGAAAGGCAAAAGAAATCAATTTTATCGATTTCAACAATGATATTTTTTATAATAGTGATCTAATGAATTTCACTCATTTGGATGTTGGTGATTTCCTTAATGAGCCAAGTGGAAAGATTGGCGAAGCACAATACTATGGTGATGCCAATGATGGAAATGCAAAAGTAAAAAATAACTGATTTTGTTCTGAGTTTATGTTATGTTTGAGTGTGTTTTTCTTTTAATCTAGTTTGTCGAATTTTTCAATTTCATGTCTTGTTCCTTGGCGAGTCTTAGTTTTAATGTGCTTCGTCTTAAATACATTTTCTTATTTAAGTTTATGTTATGTTTGATGTGTTTATTTTATGGAAATTTAAGTGTTTTTTTTCTTCGTATCTTCTTATTTTACTTATTTTCTTTCATAGAACCATGGACGATAATGATAAGCCTCATGTGAGCAACTTGGATGGTGGAGATCTTTGCTTGGTTGACAGTGAAATTACACACACTATTCTTCCAGATCAAAAATAGTTGATGGCTTTGGAAGAGCCAATATTATATTGTTCGGTGGCACATATATCTTTATAAAAGAGGCTTTGTACGGTTACCAATCAAACAAAAACTTATTGAGTTTCAAAGATATACGTCTCAATGGATTTCATATCAAGACTATGGATGAGGAGAATATGGAATATCTTTGTATTACATCCAAGGTTTCATGCGAAAAGCATGTGAAAAAAAAACTCCCAGTTTTAATTCTCACCGGGATTATATTATGCGACCATAAGCGCAGTAGAATCATACCGTGTGATGAACAATGATCCCAAGCTTTTTATTCTTTGGCATGATCGACTAGGCCACCCATGGTTAATTATGATGCGTCGAATAATAAAAAATTCATATGTGCATCCTCTAAAGAATCCGAAGATTCTGTTACCTCAAGAATGTGTGTGTGATGCTTGCTTACTGTAACGCCCCACAACCTAACAGCTGAATCCAATCGGATCACCACCATTAAGTTAGGGATGCTAACCTTTTATATATATACTTAATCATTATGGTTTTAATACAAAAATACGTTATATGCTTTGAAAAGAAATCAAACTTTGTACTTTCTCAAAATCTGTGCGTATATACATATATTGTTTACAAAATTACATTGTACAAAAACCATAATAGAGCGGCTAACAAAATGAAATCAGAGTTTCTAGCTCGGCTACAAAAATGGCGCGAAGCATGGCATATGAACAAATCTCTGACTGGCCGCTCTTGGCTAGGTCAACTTCTAATCATGTACATCATAACCTGCATCATAAGTACCTAATGAGCCAATGGCTCAGCAAGTTGAAACTGATATAATAGAAATATATCACATAACACATTATTCATTCAATATGTACAATATCACATATAACTTCATTCATGATCCTTTCTTTGAATCCTTCTCTTTTTCGGGTACCCTTGAAGTGTGGTACTTGACTGATAGCAATAGACTTTGATTTTCGGAACCTGTTCATCATATTTGGCCAATAGATAATACGGGGGTTTCCATACCGGCCTTTCGACCTCAGGTATTAGCCGTATTTCATTTCTTTAATTGTGGGTTTTCCATACTGGTCTTTCGACCTCAAGTATTTGCCACCATGTGTTGGGTCCGCCGGTTCCTCCCGCGTCCCTTGCCTACTCGACCATCAATCAAGTACCATACTCCCATTTTCAAAACATATTCTTTCATATCACTATGACTCATCAATCA